TTAATAAAGTACATCATATCATTCTGTGAAGATGGGAAAATGTAAACCAAACAATACAATTAATGAGACAGATTCAGAACTGAATGACCAGCCAGACTCCAAGAGTAGTTGTTAATGATTCAATATCAATGTGGCAGGATGTCTCCAGTACAGTCCATTAAGGATCTGCACTTGGCCATGAACTATAGATAAGGTTTTAGATGGTGTGTTCATCAAATGTGCACATGGCTTCAAAAGATAGTTAACACACAAGATGCCAGGATTAAGATACAAAAAGATCTTGACATGCTGGGCACTAGACTGAACTGAAGATGAAATTCAATAGGGATAAATGTAAAGTCTTATAATTAGGCTCAAAAAAAATCAACTTCACAAGTAGAGAATGAGGAAAACATAGTTAGCAGTTTGTCTAAAAAAGATCTGGAGGTTTTAGTGGATTGCAAACTCAATGAGTCAGCACTATGAAGTGGCAGCCAAAAAAGTTAATGCAATCTTGGGCTACATTAAGAGAGGCATGGTTTCCAGGAATAAGGTGTCCAACAGCTCTGTTCTCTGCCCAAAGCTAGACTACATTCAAAGTACTTTATTTAGTTCTGGGCATTACAGTTTAAGAAGGAAATTAGTAAGCCAGATAATGGTGAAGGGCCTTGAGACCACATTAAATGAGGATTAGCTAAAGGAAGTAGGGGCATTTATTTAGCCTAAAGACGACTCTGGGAGGACAGGATAGCTGTAACAAGTTATTTCAAGTACCAACTCAACACATGGAAAAAGAATTAGACTTGTTCTATTCAGCCCCAAAGGGCAGGACATTGGGTAGAAGTTGCCTATAGGTAAATTCAGGCTTGATGTCAGAAAACTCTCCTATTAAAAATCAGAGTGGCTCAAAATTAGAACAGACTGCCAAGAGAGGTGGTGATATTGGAGGTCTTCAAACACTGGATGACCACTATGGTAAGTTGTAGTGAGGATGCCTTTTGAGTATGTGATGGGCTAGCTGGCCACTAAGGCCCCCATCACACATCATATTCTGTGAAAAATTCATCTCAGTAAGAAAAGCCATTTCACGTCATGACTACTACTAAAAGTACTTTAAGTTCCACGGTTTATTTTTCATCATTTGAATTTTATTTTATAACCATTATCATTTGGGAACTTCAGACTTACTGATCTTCAGCAGGAGACAAGAGGCAGCTAGCTAGGTGGTGAAATAAGAGTGCTGGGCCTAGAGTCAGGAAAACCCAAGCTCAAATCCAGCTTCATACACTTATTCCCAATAACCCTGAACAATTCAGACACTTACTCACTGTGTGATCCAGGGCAACAACTTCTGTTTAGCTCAGTTTCCTCAACTGAAAAGGAGATAATAAAGCAACTACCTAGCAAGGTTGTTGTGAGGATCAAATGATGTAAAGTGCCTGGCACAGAGTTGGCACTTAATAAATGCTTATTCCCTTCCCCTAACCCCAACTCCTCATCTGGTGTGAATACTGCAAAAATACACAAAACTAAAATGGGCATTTGGTTACAATTTTGGGGGTACCACATCCACAAATTCATCAGGATAGGAATTCCTAGTGTCGAAACTCCATCTATCAATGCATATTTAAAACTGTTCTGTAACTTATAGCTTGTGGCACTAGGATTTTAAATTACACAAAAATATCCCAAACTACTTTCTATATAGTTCTTTAAAAGTTACTACCCAAGACAGATTTTACAGATCACATTAATTTAAATCACTAATCATAAACAATCAATTTACTACATTTTGTCTACAAAATGTTCATTCTTATTGAATACAATCTTAAGATTGTATAATCTTTATAATTCAGAATAACACTGGTTTCATTTTTACAAAGTAAATGGTATACATGGCAAAACATTTAACTGGATTTTAAGATTATTTATGCAAATACATCAGAGAGCTGACTGATTATTTTATTTACTAACTAAAACATATTGCTTGTGCAGTCACTGAGAAGTGCAATCATCCAATGGAAAACATCACTAGTGACTGACTACTGAAGAACCATCAGACAATTATCTCCAAAAGCAACAGACATGCAAATTATTTTTAACTAAGAGAGTAAGCCTGTGTATTCTAAAACTTAAATGTTTATTTTAACAAAATATTCTAAATTTTTAGTAATTTTACCTAGAAATGATTTTGATTAAAATAAAAACTAAGTGAACTATTTCACCCAGGTCAACAGAAACATTTTAAAATATCATTATCAGTTTATATAACTTACTCATAAAATGAGAACAAGCTTTCTTACTATTATTTCCTTAATGATTCCTTTATTTTAGAATTAATGCGAAGAAAACATTACTTCCATACCTACAAAATTTGCTACTAAAAACTGGATTACCCCTTCAGTAGACTCTGATAAACCCCAAAAGCTTATATGATTTTAAAGATCATACTTTTTGAAAGTGCTCAGAAACTTTTCTGAATGGTTCACCTTCACCCTGAAAACTGTTATATATCTAGTGTTACAGTTACATATAAGTGATTTACGTATTGTACCTATTGCATGATCATCTACGAAAGTGCAGACCCTTTAAAATGCTTGTCATTAAAAAAAAGTATTCAAGTCACTTAAATTCTTATTTACACTATCATCTATTCTTCACCTGTCATAATACCTAAAAATAAACATTTCAGATGCCAAATAAATAAACACATAAGACTCTCTCCAGGCTCATAATATTCATTACATTAGACAGCAAGGTTTTCCAACCACCATATTTAGCAGATAGTCAGAAGGACCTGCCAGGCCTCTGGTACATACTGGCTTTGTGACCGTAGTTAAGTCATTGAACTTAACAATTACAATTGTTCTAAACTAAGATTATAAATTACAGAAAAGTGAACTACACTGGTAGAAGGTGTTTCCTTACTTGGGCATTCCCTACTGCAATGAAATCACAAGCTTAGCTCCTAACTCTATCCTATTACTAAAAATAAAAACTATCATGAAACCACTAAACTTAACAATAGCAGGATTTAAAGGGCACCACTGACACACTGGCAAATTGAAGAAAGTAATGATCCATCCCAAATGAGATCACTGGATTAATTATATTCTGTGCTACTATAAACAAGCTAGAAGTTGGGAGAGAAATGTCCAAAAGACACTTCTTCAATAGATTTTCTTCTCAATTTTTTCATTGACTATTCATTGAATACTTATTATGTAAAAGGCACTATGCTAAGTTCCAAAGAAGTTCCAAAGAGTTCCTGTCCTCAAGGAGGTTACTTAAACACTAGATAAATGATGATGAATAGTATATATGATAAATGCTGAATAGCTGTACAGACAATGAGGGCCATAGGCATTCAGAGGGAGGAAGGGAGGGAATTACTATAAGCTGCAGCACCCATGGAGAAAGAGCTATATAGACAGTATTCAGGAAAGTTAGATTTTCATCCCAATTCTGACAGGTGACAGAGCTGTGATCCTACCAGTCAAGTGACTCCTAGTGTCTCTGAGCCTCAGTTTGCTTATCTATAAAACAGAGATGAAAATCGTTGTGCTACCTACCTCAGAGAACTGTTTTAAAAAAAGTACTCTGCCAATCTTAATGCACTACACATGCATTATCAAATGATAATACACAAAGCAGGACACAAAAGCAATGTCTCAAAATTTGATGTATATTGTACATAGGAAGAGAATATAAATACAGTCTGCTACTTATGACAAAGTTTTTTAGGCACCAGGCCTTAACTGGGACTTTAGAGGTCAAGTAAGTGGTTCAATTCCATTTTACTACTACTACTAGTCTTCAAAAAAAAAACTACCATGAAAGAGCAGAGAGACATTTCTGAGGATGCAGGAAGCAGGAAAAAGCAAATATTACGCCTGGTCTGACTGATACATAAGACACTGGCAGTGGACTCACTGGTGCTTGTATCAATTCAATAAACACATGTGACCTCAAAGATAGGTAGAAAATTGAACAGGGCTTGTGGTTAACAGTCACTTTTCTCGTTGTGGTCCTTTAAATGTATTTATGCAGAATTCAGTGAGAACAGGATAAGAGGATGGTAGGCTGTGGGATTAAAGCCAAGGAAAACAAGGTGCCATACGTCAGGAGACTGGGTGCCCAACACAAAGGGTAAAGTGCATCTCCTCCACTGCATCTTGACCAAAGAGAAATGAGCTTGCTAAAAACTGGCTTACTCTTAAGCACTTTAAGAGTTTTCCATTTCTCTACCTTCCATTTAAAAAAAACCCATTTCAGGAAAAAGAAAAGCACCTTCTCCCCCCCCCCTTCCTTTTAACTATATCCCAGAGTACTATGCCCCTTACTGGAACCTTAAGGTGCTCAGAGAACAGACAAGCACCCTAATCTAAAGACTTCGTCCCTCTGAGCTTCCCTCTCCCCTGCCTTTTCCCTTCTCTACGTCTTCTTCAGATAGCCCTGATTTCCTCACAAACTCTCCTCCCAAAGCATTCCGCTTTCTTCCAAGGTATTATTATTTTAGGAAAAAGTTTCTTCAACCCCTGCCTCTGAACTCTCCCTAGTTACTCCACTGTTCCTCCTCCAGTGTTATCCCAACTTTTACCTACTGCTTTCTTCCACTTCCCCGGGGTCCTAGCCTCACAAAATCACTCAATTCCCAAAACATTCCTCCCTTTTCCCGGCTGCCCCCCTCCCCTAAACCTTCCTGAATCCCTCACCTCTCCTCCCATGGCTCAACCCCTTCCAGCGAACCCAGAACAACTCCCCCAAGCCCATCTTTGCCCCCTGCTTAAGTCCTAGCTCCTCCCAGGACAGGCCCCTCACTAACTCTGCCCCTCACCCTTTATCTCCTTCCCGAAGCCCTGCCTGCTCCGGCCCCCAACTCTGCCCCGGCCCCTCTGCTCTCTCCCCGGCCCCTCGGCCTCCCGGCCCCGGAGCTCTGCCCCGGCCCGGGCCGGGAAGCCGGCTCCGCCGTCCCTCCGGGGCCCCTGGCCGGCCGTCCCGCGGCGCGCTGCCGGGCTCACCAGTTGGTCATGTCCAGGAAGAAGGCGCAGCCGGCCGGGTTGAGCTGGAAGCCGAGCAGCCGCTGGAACTCGGAGATGAGCACGTCCTTGTCGGTGGTGCCCAGGCAGCTGAACTTCTGCATCAGCTCCGGGTCCAGGTCTACGTCCATGCCCTCCATGGCGGGGGCCAGACACCCCTGCCGCCCAGACCGCCGCCGCCGCCGCCGCTACAACCGTGCCTCCCGCCGCCGCCGCCGCCGGGCGCTGCTCCCCCGGCTCCACCCCCCCCGCCCCCCGGAGCCGAGCCCGAGCCCGAGCCCGAGCCCGCTCTGCCCGGCTGAGGTAGGTAGGTAGGTAGGCCCCGGGCCTCTCACCGCTTCATGGGGGCAAAGTCTCGCTAGCTCTCGTTCTCGCTCTCACGCTCCGCGCTCGCCCCCGCCCCCACCCCCCCCCCCAGCGCCGCCGCGGCCGCCGCCTCCTCCTCCTCCTCCTCCTCCTCCACCTCCCCCCCTTTTCTCCAGACCTCCGCCTCCACCTTCTCCTTTCCCTCCTCCTTCCGCGCCGCACCCACTGCGCAGGCGCCGCGGCCCGGCGGGGGGGTGGAGGGGCCACCCCCTCCCTGCCCCTTCCTCTCCGGAGTCCCCCCGCCCCTTAGTGACGTCACAACCCCGTGACGTCCCCCGCGTGACCTCAGCTCGGTGGAACGAGCGGGAGGGAAGGCCCGGGGTGGGGGGGAAGCGGAGGAGGAGTGGGGGGTTGGAGAGAAGAGCCTAAGCGCTCGCTCCATGATAGAGTGAAGGATGTGGAGGAGAGACAGCCCCGAGAGGGTCGTGGTCTGGCCGGCGGGGCAGTGGGGGAGGCGGCGCGCTCGCCCTAGTAAAGGGGTCCAGGGGGATAACCCCGGCCTGCTTGGAGGAGCTGGGTTCAAGGTGTGACTTTTAAGTGGCAATCAGTGCCTCCGTGACTTTTGACGGAGCTTCTTGCCTCAGTTTGCTGAGCTATAAAATGGGAATGATGTCCTGTACGGAGGAAAACAGTGGCGTAGTGGCTAGAAGGTCATCCAGTTAGCACTTTGTAGGCGCGTAATAAATTCGAGTTGACATCGAAAGGAAAAAAAGCAGTGTGGGGCTTTTAGCTTAAAGAGCTACATAGCTGGTATTGTTATTCTACAGATGAAGGAACTGAGGCAGATTGTGACTTGCTCCAGGACAGTGAAATAAATGACCTTTGAAATTGATCTGCTAGGAAGCAGGAGGGAGTAAAAGCGGGTGGAAGTGAAGAATCATTGATCCTAGAATTTCAGTTGAAAGGGATCTGAGAGGCACCAAATTGTGGTGTTCTAGAGCCCCAAGAGAATAGTTCTTCCAGGCCAATCCCTTTATTGTACAGATTAGTCTCTATAGACCAGAGGGAATGACTTGCCCAAGGTCACAAAAGAAAGCCGGGAAAATAAAGCACAAGCTTATTGGTTTTCCCAGACCAGTTTTCTTTCTAATAATAGTCAACAAGCACTATTAAGCATTATTAAGGAGTATTAACTCTGTGCCAAGGAGTGTACTTTAAAGTTTTCCAAAATGAGATTCTTGGAGTAAAACAACCTTATATGTACTCTTATATACACTTATAAGCAACCTTACGTACGCTCTTAATGATAATCATTGACCTTAATTCAATATCAGTATTTTTCATAAATAGCCCTAAATACAATATTATTATTACAGTATGTATACATATTTGCATATACATACAATAGTAATAATATATTTACATATATACATGTGTTTCTCTTATTATTACATAAATGATTGCATCTTTCTTCCAAAAACCTGGTGAGCATCCCTGTAACATTATACCCAAGCCCAGGGCTAACTAAACACAATGCATATAATACAACCAAACATCCTCATAAACTACACAGTGCAATCAAAGGTTTGTCAACCCCTCACCAAAAACAGGCTAAGTCCCAGGAACTTATTATCCATATCCTACAGTAACAAACATTGTAACACACACTTCAGCAACATGACAAATGCAACCTCAAGTCTGTGACGTACCTCCCTGGTCAGGCCCCCATTATGTGCTCATGGAATCAGTGAATATTAAAACTGAATGGAGCCTTCCACATCATCTAGTAATTGGCAGAAGAGGTGAAGGAAAGGCCCTGGAGGGTTAAGTGGTAGAACCAGGAGTCTTCATTTCTATATTTTTACCCGCTACCTTTTTCAGCTGCTCTGGTCTCAAGCCTGCCAGAGGTAATTCCCAGTTCTACAGTGTCTGTGGCACTACGACAGTCAGGAGGAGGCACATTCTGACTCTCTCCTCTCCCCTGAAGGTCAAGGTTGACCTTTAGAAGAAGCAGTTACTGTTGTGTGTCCCCTGGGAGTTATTACTCATTCAGGTGCCATTATTTATCCCCAACTTTGTTTCCTTTCCTTTCTCCAAGGCTGAAATAGAAAATATTCAATTCACCTTTTATGGACTCTGTACCAGACATTATGCTAGTAGGTACTGGCAGTATAAAGGTGGGGGAGAAAACAACCTCTGACTTCAAGGAAATTGCAGTCACATGATCACTGATGTTTATACTGCACTTTCGCATGCATTATTTCATCTGAACCCCACAACAACTCTAAAAAGTTACTACAAGTATCCCAGCATTACAGAGAACACTTGCCCAAAGTAACACAGGTAATGATCGTCACAGATAGGATTTGAACCCAGGTTTATCCGGACTGCAAGGCCAATATATTTTCCATTATACCACGTTGCCTCCCTTTAACTCGATAGAGAGGGATAGAGAAATATGTATGATGCAAAATAACCATAATAGCGACATTTATACGGCACTTTATGTAGTTCTTCAGCTGTTTGGCTCACAACACTGTGATGTAATTGTCTGCCTATTATCACCCCATTTTACAAAAGAAAATGAGGCTGAGGGAAATTAAGGAACTTACTTGCCCATGATCTCAGAGCTAAGAGTTATGGGAGCAGAGTTGTACTGGTGAACTTTTAATAACCGGCTCTCCAAAAACCCACAACATGCTTTTAATTTAATCTGCATTGGAAATATTTTCCCCATCACTTCCAGTCTAGAGTATTCACAAAATACTAAATCAAGTTCTGATTTGTTCTGATTCTGAGGTGTAAATTTAACACTGAAAATTTAACAATCAGCTCATGAGAGCCAGTAAGAGCTAGCTCCGGCACCCTCTTGTGTGGGAGCCAGGAAATCTAGGTCTTCCTGAAACTACATAATTTGTGTTTACCATGCCACCCTGCCTCTAGGTAGAATGAGATAAAGGCATTGTTGGTGTTCTTCAGTCCTATGGGATCTTCGTGGTCCTGTGGACCACTGTCCATGTGGTTTTCTTGGCAAAGATACTGGAGTAGTTTGTCATTTTCTTCTCCAGTGGATTAAGGCAATCACACAGTTAAGTAAGTGTCTGAGGCCAGATTTGAATTCATGTCTATCCTGACTCCAGGCTTGGTGCTCTATTCACTAAACCACCTAGCTCCTTTCTGATAATAAAGGCATAGAAAAGATCTAAACAATGTTATCCAAGAAATAGGAGAATGGAAAGGGGTCAGGCCAGCTTGGTCTATATGCAATAACTGATGGTATGTTAGCATGTTTTCAAGGCAGAAATGTGGATGATGTTGTATAAGGCTGTACAAAATACCTGGAGAAAGAAGTGCACGAGTAATCTGAAAAACAATTAGTCCAGTTTGGTTGGGAAAAGTGGGCTGACTTTGGAGGATTTGAAGTGCCAGGCTGAGTTTGTTTCCGTTTTATCAAGGAGACAGTGACGAAGCCAATCAAATCAATAAGCATATACTGAAGATTTTTTAACAAGACATGATGACCAGTTAGACGGGAATGTTAAGAAGATTAGAGCCAAGGTCCTGTGTTCCTTCTCCTTAGATTTCTCAGGACTTTTAAGTGTCAGACCTCACCACCTGGCCAGTGTCTCACTCAAGGGAGCAGAGTGAAACACTGAAGGAGTCACTTCTAAAACTGATACAGTCCTCTCTTTTAAACTTACCTGTCAAACATCTCTTCTCGAATGGTGTACTAAAACCTCAAACTCAACATGTCCAAATGTTATTCGTCATCTTCCTACTAAAAACTGGGCTAAATTCCCTAATTTTGTTATATCCTTAATATGCTCCTAGTTATCCAAGATTAAAACCTCATCGTCATCACTAACACTTCTCTCTCCTCCTACATCTAATTAAGTCCTTTATAGTCTATCTTTAAAAACAAAGGCACAGAAAAATATGCCTAAAGGTAGGATCATTTATTCTAGTGTATCCCAGGAGGGGTTCCCATCAGGAACAATACAAAGCTGCTCTGATCCAGTCTGCCATCCCGTCTCCTTGGTCACAATCAATTTCTGCCACTGGTTGGAGATCTTTGAGCAGGTCTTTCCCCTGATGTCCAACAGGCAGGTGGTGATGTCCAGGGAGAGGGGAAATATTGTATATAGCTACAGAATAGGCTACCACATCAGAGAAGGGCTATCTCTGGTGCCCAGTTACCAGGCTAAATATATGGATTTGGGAGTCAATGCATAAAAGTAACAAATGAATGCCATGAAAACATAAGTAAAATTGCCAAGGAAGAGCAAAGATAGAGAAAAGAATAGGGTATAAAACAGAAAGGCCTTGGAAGAATAGGAGAAATAGTGATTGAAGACTTTAAAAGGAATAGTCAGGCTGGAGGATATCTAGCAGAATGTCACAGGAGCCAAAGCCAAGAGGAGATTGTGTCAAGAAGAGGTAGGGGATGGTTAACAGTGTAGTCAAGAAGGCTGAAGGACTGACTATTGTCACTGGATTCTTCCTTTGTCCCAGACTTCTTCCAGGAATGACTCTTTCAAAGGGAACAGAGAAAAAGGCCCCACTACAACAAACAACATACAATAGTACCAGAAGCATTGCACTTATAAAAGAAGACGTACATCATTTTACAAAGTTCCTGGGCTTCTGAAATGTTCTAGAACTTAATATTGAGATGACAACAACATAGCCAAACATTCCATCACTTCATAGTTGCCTCTGAGGCAGGCACAGGATTTAAAACAGGTTAGATAACTTGTAGTCTGAGCTTTGCATGCATCACATACCCAACAGATTTGATGCGTCGGCTGATTTGAACCGTTGTTGTGTTCTGTATGGTATGGTTTATAGAGCTAGTATAGAAAGACTGGTAATTAGGAGGCATGGGTCCTAGTCCTGACTCCACCATTTACTTAACTGTGTGACCTTGGCCAAGTCTCTTTCTCTCCCCAGGCCTCATTTACT